CACACACACACACACACACACACACACACACACACACACAAACGCACACACACACACACACAGCCCCACCTCCGATAGAATGCACGCCCATTATGGGTGTATCTAGACAGAAAGTTGCTTCAAAAGATAACAGCCATAATGGTGGTGCCTTCTCTTCAAGAGCCTGGAAAAGGCCATTGTCGGCCTCAAACGGCCAGGGGGCAAAATGGAAAGATGACTTGGGCTGACAGGGGTAGGGCCTGGGAAAAGTTGGCAAGTACCGGGACATTTTACAAAGATCGACAGTACCCGGTAGGGGTATTTTGCAAAGATGACGGGTCCAACCGACGCAGGGGCATTTTGCCAAACGCCTTTGGCATCAGAGGGGTATTCCGCTCTAACCACATCTTTTAGGGGCATTTTGGCATACGCCTCAACTTATAGGGGTATCTCTCATATTATCTCTTCAAAAATAAAGAGAGTGATACGAGCACCACTCACGAGCGCCTCGGCGGGGGCTCCAGTCTATTGGCGGGGAGCTTCACCTGCTGGAGTTTCAGCCGAGGCGCTCCAGTCTATTGGCGGGGAGCTTCACCTGCTGGAGTTTCAGATGTCAGCGCGAGTCAGACCGCCGACTATTCCTACGCGGGGGGAGGAAAAGGCATCGAGTTTCGTATTTCTTTTCCTCCTCTCCCCTCCCTCTCCTTTCCTTCTTCTTTCCCCTTTTTTTGTTTTGTTTAATTTGGCGCATTACTCGATTTATGCGTGTCATTCTTGCGCAGGTGCCACTCTCTGTATCGTTCCAAGTTTAACGGATGTCCCCAAGGACAGTTTTTTGTTATGAAAGACGGCAAAGGAGGCGCATTTTTCGCACCTTGTATTTCGCGACGGGGGAGGGTGGGTGAGGTACTCCTTCGGTGATGCCGTAGCTTACGGTGGTTACGTGTGAGGGGGTCGAGGCTGTGAAATGCGGTCACGCGTGTGCAGACGACGGCTTTTCGACTGAATCTGGGGAATTATGTTTGGGGGCACTTCTCGGAGGGCTGATCTGGCCAGATACATAACCCATAAAGTCGAATCGCACTTTGAGTACGCCCAGAAATGTCCCTGGAAGCAGGAGGGTAACTTTGTGCTCCTGTTCATTGTACTGAAATGAACAGTACCAAAGGCGGGACCTTCGAAAAGTTGGCCCGCGCTTTTACCCTTCGGTCACGCGCGAGTTGAGCTCCGGAAGGAAAGAGGGTAACCTGTGCTCCTGTTTGTTGTACTGAAATGAACAGTAGCAAAGGCGGGACCTTCGAAATGTTGGCCCGCGCATTTTTTTTATTTTTTATTGTGGAATGGCTCGCGAATTTTTTTTATTTTTTATTTTGGAATGGCCCGCGCATTTACCTTTCTCTCGCGCGCGAGTAGAGTTTTACGGATATCCATACCAAATCCGAAGGGGAACGCTAGCAGAAGAGGATGGTGAAAACGCCGTCGGCAGCAGCAGCCGGATGAGGAGGACGACGTAGAGGGCGCGATAAGTGAATCTACCTTTCTTTGATCTATGCAGCGAACAGTGCGGAGATACAGGCGGTAGTGCACGAAGAACTGTGAAACAGGTTTTGAAAAAGTGGGAAGAAGTGAAAAGAAAAAGGCCAAAAATAGGACAGGTACGGAAGGGGACGAGAGTAGATGGATTGATGAACCCAAAAGACAAGTAGAGGTCAGAGAGGAAGCTGCTGCGTCGCCATTACCACACACAGACAGCGCCGGGAGGTTAGTGTTTTGAGACACCATCTTCGCTGTTGTTCCGTCACCCTCGGTCCTGCCCCTAACCCGCTCGTCCTACGTGCTCGCGATTTTCGTATTCCTTCTCTCGAACTTTCTCTTTCTCTTTCGATGCACTTGCTCCTCGTCTCTCTCTCTCTCTCTCTCTCTCTCTCTCTCTCTCTCTCTCTCTCTCTCTCTCTCTCTCTCTCTCTCTCTCTCTCTCTCTCTCTCTCNTCTCTCTCTCTCTCTCTCTCTCTCTCTCTCTCTCTCTCTCTCTCTCTCTCTCTCTCTCTCTCTCTCTCTCTCTCTCTCTCTCCCCCCGCCCCCCAACCTCCCATCCATTCTCTCCACTTCTTCTTTTTTTCCCTTGAAAGGGTATCATACACTGCCATTGCTTCTCGCGCGCCACGTACACGTGCCTCCATGCGCACGCGAGTTTACATGTGCGCTCTACTGTCTGTTTGTTTGTGTGCGTCCGTACGTGTGTGTGTGTATGCTTTTGTGTGTGCTTGTTTGTCTGTGTGTGTTTCGGGGGGGGAAGAGAGAGAGAGAGAGAGAGAGAGAGAGAGAGAGAGAGAGAGAGAGAGAGAGAGAGAGAGTAGATGACTGGTCGGAGGTGTGTGTGTCAGAGTAAAAGCACCTCGGCAATTTCGGGAATACGCGCACGGTGACGGCGCATCGATGACAATTGCTTCTTGATCGCAATTTAGATTGCGAACAGTGTTCCACTCATCTTTGGCGGACATGGTTAGACATTAGTTCTTTTTTTTTTTGATGGATGCCTACATGTTTTTAATCTTCTTTTCTTTTTCCTCATTCATGCGATGATGTCATTTGCATGAGTTGAACAGACATGGGACCAAACGGTGGAAGTCGAATGACCAATGCATAAGAGATTTGGGAAAGGGCAAGTGGAACAAGTAACTAGAACTGATTTACAAAAACAATTTTGAAAACAATAAAAAAAGAAAAAAACAACGAGAAACTGGAACGAATAAGAAAATTTGACCGCGTAGCGGTAGGTCCTCGGATCCTTCCCTATCGCAGCCTGGAGCGCGGTCCCCCAGCGAAAAGGTTTGCATTTAATGCCTGAATTGGTTGTGTTTGAGGAGAGGTGCAGAAAATCGCAATTGATCTGCTTTCTGCATTTCTGCATAAAACACAGCCACATTCAGACGCTAAATCCGATCCTCTTTGATAGTGGGACCTCGCCCATGGACTCTGTTTTGCATATGTTTTGTCCTCACGAAATTAATAAGCTTATCATATATTTACTGACAGTAGAGTACCCTCAAACATTGTTGAGTGTGGGGTTTCGATCTTTCGATTCGCTAATCGATAGTTCAAGGTGTGTACCATCAAGATAGGAGGCAGGTAGTGATGAGACGATGTATACAATTCAGATAAGGGGGATTTGCTCATAAAAAAGGTAGAGAGAAAACAAAACTTTGACTACCTAACGGAAGGAAAGGGTTATGCGCAGCGAAAATAAATCGGACAGAGGTAAAAGTGTATTCCTCTTTTTTCTTTGATTGGTTGGTGGGGGGGGGGCGGGGGCGGGGGGCATGCCACAAATCGGATAGGGGTAGACGGAGCGGGCGGGGCGGGAAGATAAGACTTTCTATAAGAGGGGTATCCATCATCGACCAGTGCGGTATTGTTTTCATGTTTCTATCTCCCTCCCCCCGCCCCCACTTGACAGATCAGCACGCGACGTCATCGGAGTTGTAGGATTTTTTGTGTTTTTCCGAAGGAAAGAAAGATGGTAATCCCTCTTGAGCCCTCGAAGGGTTAAGCTCGAGTGAAATTGGAAAAGGAAAAAGGAAAAAAAGGGATGGAAGGAAAAATAATAGCAAAAGAAGAAAGATGAAGAAGAAGCGGTGATTAAACGAGACAATGAGAAGAAAACGGTTAATTTTAAAATCGATTAAGCACATGATCGGTAGCAGTATCCATCGGCCAATCTTTGGCGTCGTTGATTGATTGATCAGAAACAACGATGATTCTGCTGTCTACCAAGACTAATCACAACCATCCATTTATGTCTTCATCTGCTTGAATCGATGAAGGCCATCGCCTTACTGCAGCTAAGATGAGCTTCATCCGTGTGTGGGGGGGGGAGAGAGGCGGGGGAGGGGAGAGAGAGAGAGAGAGAGAGAGAGAGAGAGAGAGAGAGAGAGAGAGAGAGAGAGAGAGAGCATCTAGGACGTTTCGTTTCCAATTACCGTGGGTGAGATGTAGAAAGGGAGGGGCCGGCAGAGCAAACGGGTCCACGCTACTCCTGATTGCAAATCGTGATCGTCATCATCATGGTAACCGTTGGTTAGAACCTTCTATCACTGTTTGGTACGGTAAAACCTTTTAATTTTTCTGCATTTCGTAACCACAGATGTACTGACTTCCCTTCGTATCACTGTTCGATGGAATCTGAGTTTGAACTCGCCGTTGCCGATATCAACTCTCCGCGTCCGGGATTTGAAAGCGGTATTCTCCTGGCACAGTCTTCCGCGCAGGACGAGAGGAGATTGATGGACTCCGAAGGGCATGTGGTTGAATGATACGCGTGTTAGTAAACAGAAGATGAGTTCGGATCCTGATCGGAATCAGGTGGACGTGAAAAATTTACGGGCTATCCCGCTAAACATTAAACACACACACACAGATTGTATATAGCGAACATGACAACAACACACAGACACTTTCACACACACACACACACACACACACACACACACACACACACGTAGGTGCGAGACTCAGCAACAGACGCACGTGCGAGGATCACTAACACACAGTACTATATAGCAGCACACTGTGTTAACTCAGCGCTAACGCTGTGTTTTATCGGGCTTTGTAAGCACAGCTATAAGGATGTTGGTCAGTGAATGGGGGGAATGAGCTCACAAACCAAACAATGTCCTTGAAGAACCGATGCACGCAGTTTTGCTATTTTTACAGCAAGGCCGGTGGCCAGCATCCATTTGCACCTGCAAGTTGCTGGCAGAGAAATGCAGACGAGGCAGTGATGTGTCAGACAGTAGAAAACTGGCTGGGCCTGTTTTGGAACTTTCCCATCTGCCAGTGTACTGGAGCATAGCTCTTTTACCTGACAATGTTGATCGCTGCCGCAAGTGGACAGTGTCCTTGGACGCACCTGTGCTCACATGTGCTCACACACACACACACACACATCATGACACACGCACACCCACACGCGCGCGCACACGCACACGCACACGCACACGGACACGCACACGCACACGC